ATTCATTGATACATTTTATTGTTATGAACAAAAAATCGACAAAGAATGTCTCATTAGTCAATATTGTTTCTTACAAAAGTTCTTTAGCTTCTTTATGTCTCCATTTCTGATAGCTCAAAAGAAAGTTCTTTTCTGTCATTTTTCTTAACCTTTTCTGCTATTGCAAGCAAATAATTTTATTCCTTGCTTAAAAATGTAGGTTAAAACCGTGAAAAATACTTTTCAAGTTACTTATTTTATCAATTAATAGTATATACTATCAAAACTTTTTATTATTCTTTTTTTTAATCTTACTTGAAAAAAAGTAATTTTAAGAACAATACCAAACATGAAATTACTTGGTCAAATTCCAACTATTACAAAATCACTAGCTTAGTTTACCACAATTTGACAAGAAAATACTGTTCCTGAGAGGCAATTCATTCCCCGAACGAGCTTAATTTATAACTACAAAGAACAACATCAATGGATCAACAAGCAAAGAGCAAAAAAATTATCAAGAAATTGCTTAAGGAAAATTAGACTTAGCTGGCTATAAGGCCATTGAATCTGACAGGACCCTTCTGTTTTAGTAGCAAATTTAGCTGAGCCTTCTGGCACTCCAACTTGGTGCCCATATGTTTACTTCTGCAACCAATTGCTCGAACCACTCTCGGAAATTCGACGAACCCTTTAATCCCTCTTTTGATATGAGGATTTTCGGGCTCTGGAGAAGCTCTTCTCTGAATTACCATTGACTGAAGTTTGCCATTGTTATCAGTATTATTACAACTCGGTTTATCTGTCAATACAAACCTTATTTTGTCCCTGTAAGAAACAGAACAAAAAGGTTCAGTGAATAAATTTGGAACAAAGAAAGTCGATTAGCAAGAGCAAGTGCTTTAATTTGTATGACTAACATTGTTTTTAACCCTCTATTAGTGACACCCGAAGCAGATGTAGTCTGATGATGATCAATATCATCTTCTTGATTCTTTCCTTCTTTCTTGAAACTTGATGATTCAATTTGAATCCTCTTAGTGTCTTCCAATTCTAACAGTTTTTCTTCGAGAAAGAGCTTTGCTTCTGAGAGCTTCATTTGCACGCGTTCTTCCCTTATAACCTCAGAGACGCGTAGCATTTTCCTTTCTTCCTCCATTTCTTTCTTCATCCTGTCGAATTCAGCTTTATCAAAAGATACTTCTTTAGCAAGATCTTGGCAAACTCTCTCTAATGCTTCTCTTCCTTTCCTCTCTTCAGAAAGTTCCCTGGCCAGTTTTTTATTCAAAGACTCCATTTTTTTACGTGCTTTGCGTTCACTTTCTAGCTCAGCCTTCAACCGAACAATCTGTCCTCGAGCAACTTCAAGTTCAGATTCCATAAGGGGCTCGATAAAGGTTAAATCCCAGAAAGAAGCTGCAATTTTTCGTGCAGAAATAGGTAGGTGGAGATGATGAATTTGCTTGTGAGTAAGATTCTGTTGATGATTTTCTTGTTGATGGGAGATATAAAAGGGGTTCTCGTACAGTTTCCAGGTAGGGCAAATGGAGGTGGTGATGGGGGCAGTGGGAACCATCTGATTCTGGGAATTTTCTTCGTTTCTGATCATCATCACCATCGTCATGATCTATACCATTGGGGGATGTTGCTTTCTTGGTTGTGCTTTGTAGATGAGATGAAACTTTTCTTGATTAGGACTGTCTTTTTGCTTTTGCTTTTGGGTTTTGTAATTGATGGTAGGTCCATTCTACCCCATCGATGAAGCTGCTAATAATGTGGCTTATAAAGGTGAAGAGGTTGCATCACATGCACCTCTCTGTATATTTTTTTTGAACGGGACCTCTCTGTATTTTAAAACTATGGTGGATGGTGGGGTTGACCCTTTGATCTCTCTCCCCAGACGGAGATGTGTGTGTGTGTATAATTATAAAGCAATGTTACTTTCATATGCAGTTGGGCAATGTTACTTTTTTTATGCTGGTGAGGTTTTTGAAAAGCTGATTATGATAACTCTCACGTACGAGCACCCTCTACTCAACGCATCGACTAAGCCCTTAAAAGTGACTCAGTGGATACAGAGGTGCGCTTATATCCCTACTCCACTGATGTGGGGTGAAATGATTTATTAACTCGGGTCATTAAATTTTAAGCTACAAACTTAGCATATACGACGAAACCCAGAATATGATTACAAGTAATACACATCCATCTCACTGGCAAAAAAATGTTGAAGATAATTGCGTTGTGAAGTAGGCTTTATTCTATCTAGAATTAATTCCAGGAAATGATTGCCAATATGTGCAAATAACAAGTACAGAATGACAAAAAAATATATAGCAATTTATTACAATGTGTAGCAAAGAATTAACTTTTAACAAAAAGTCACATGCTAGAAATGAACACACTCTTGGTGCACCATCCAGACAACTCACCAATGGAAGATAAATGTCTCCTGAATCGTGGAAAATTCCAAATGGCACTCAACGCTGGTAGCAGCACGTAAGAGATGGGAATATATCTGGATGTTAATGAATGCTCCAATGGTGCACATCACCTGGCAGATATTCATTAAAAATTGCCAGGAAAAATGAGAGCAACCCTGAAGCCCCTGTTCTTTAGCAAGTAAAATTGTTCTAAATAAACGGGGTGTGGTATAAATCACTTGACATAGCCTAGAATTAGTACTTGTTTCAAGTAAAACCTTTTGATCAATCAAATTTACATGAAATCCATTTGGGTGAAGGTTTCTATGCACAATCGCCGAGTTTGAAAAGTCACCTGGGTCAAGAGTTGTCTTGAGGCAAGTTTAAAAGCAAATGCCAATTAAAGCCATGGACTATGTCCCCTGCGAGAGCCTACATTTTACCAAAATACCCATTTGGATCTCTCCCCACAACAAGGGCTTCTTTAAAGGGATCCCTTCAAGATTGGCCAGTGGTACATGGAGTCCCACCTCTTCTTTGCCTTAGGAACTCTCACTCCTACCATTAAAGTATCTACTAATTCCTATCATCAAAATATCATGCATAGTACTGGTAAGTTTCTTCGTTATTAGATGAGCATTGAGAGAGAGAGAGAGAGAGGGGCCCTAAATCCCTGTCGACAAGTTATATGGTCACAGTTGCAATTCTCTTCCCAAATTGGTAAAACAGGGAAATTAGGGGCAGGAAGGCTTGAAGATGCCCTGCATTCTGGCTTTTGCATATTTATTCATCTAAATTTCTACTGCATATTTCATGATGGAAAAGGATCCAAAGACACGGAAGAAGAAAAAAAGCAGAAATCTATATTTGATTTAAGGTTTACTCCGGTATCCGTTTTATTCTTAAAACTTGTTTTCTTATTTTCTTAACTAGAGTAACATGATTAGAAAGGTGAATCAGAATCGAGATTTTCACTTGGTAAGATGCTCTAATCAGGAAACCAGTCTGGTTTACATAAACTAACATAACATATCATGCCAATACAAGTACAGGAGAGGACATCTGACACCCTGGAAAAAGATAAGAACTAACTTCAATGGTATAGTTTCCCACATCTAAGAGTTGGGTATGCACACTTTATTTGGACCATGAATTTAGAAAAGAAGGAAAATAGAACAGATCTTAACCTGATATTCCTCATTTTGTCCAATCAAAAGAGAGAACAACTTTCAAATATTATTTGAGTGTAGTAAAATAGCCCATAAAAATAAGAGTAATATAATATAAATATTGTACAGGTTTTTCTTTTATAATAAAATTTTCTCAGTGTATTTTTTCCTTTTCCAGGCAAGTTCAAAAGCCAATTGAAGCTTAAAACAGACTGTACGAGGCATCTATAAATATAAAAAGGTGGTATCTCAAAGGTGTAGCACGACAAAGTTAAGATCTAGGATTTGAATCTCTTTCTGTTCTTGTTGGTTACTTGGATTTATTTTTGCAATAATTCAAATTGTAGTTAAATGCATGCAATAGATAAATCCTAAAATAGCCAAATAGTAAGCAACCTGGAAATCTTAAAAATATATTCATGGTATCATTTCCAATTTACTGCACATGCATAATTGACCCGGAAAATTATTATTGGAGTTCCCATCTTTAGGCTTTAGCTTCTCCTTTTCTCTATCTATTTAACACCTACCTTCACCCCAAGATCTAAAATCACTGTCTATCATATCCTAGATAAAAGACATTTACAACCAACAACCACCCATCATCACCAATGGAACTGGATAGCCATCCTTGAAATGACCACCATTATTAATCTCCTCCTAGAATGAATGGTATTATAATCAAAATATTCAAACAAAAAACACAAATTTACAGAACTAAAGATCCAACAACCAAAAGAACACCATATTGGTCCACTAATAATTACTATATGGGTGTGGTATTTTTTTAGTAGAAACGCCATCTAAGCCTAGAAGGGATCTTTAGGTCTCCACCTAGACCTGGCGGAGAGCTTTGGAGTCCCAAACCCTGTCTATTGATAAAGAAATGATGTTCAAATGGGAGGAGTGAATCTCTCTATGTAATTGCAAGATAATGTTAAATATGAATTTGGAAATATGCAAGTGTGAGCATATGGTTG